TTGTTCAGCCTACATATTTTCCGTCCGGGTGTTGTGTGCCTACGTGAGATTCGTGTTTGTCGACATCGCCATACTACCTAGGAACGTTGCCGAAAAAATTGCTCGGCTAAAAATAATCTGGACAGATAAAATGGTTTTTTTCTCGTCAGTATGTACTTACAGTTACATGAATTGGTTCTGAATACATTTGTTTTTCTTTCTTCCTTTCTATCTTTTTTGATGTAATAGGTCGGCAAACGAGCAGACGGATTACCTGATGGTAAGCAATCAGGGCCGCCCATGGACACGCGCAACGAAGGAGTAACGAGGGAGTTGCCAACCTTTTAAGAATTAGGGATTTGGAGACTGGGGAGGGATTGGGAAAGGGGAAGGATTAGGATTCCGATAACCTCTCTCACACGGCGAAACACAACGCTATGGTTGTTTCACGCTGTTTTTCTGTGAGGCCGTGGTATCGCTACGGTCGAGCCCACCCATTCGAGCCGAAGCATGGTTCTCCCACACTTTCAACTATCTTTTATTATTATTCTTTTTGAAGGCGAGAATCGTCAAATTACTTCTCCCTCTCTTAGTGCGGGCTGGCTAGCCACCTTCTCCTACTCCAAGCCAGGGCCATATTATTGCGCTCATCTGCAAACCCGGTTTCGTCATTGTCATATTAATAGGAATGTTTGGTAAATACCGACTAATAATTATTATAATTAGAAAATGTTGCCAAATGCATTAGTTTAATGTATAATAATAATAATACATATTATATTATTGGAATAGCATTGTACTTACACAGGATCATGTTTGTATCGATCGTAAACACGAATTGAATATGTTTATAAGTTCTTCAATTTACGCACAGGTTTATTTGAAATAGATCCTACTTCACTGCCATTATCCTTTTTAGGCTGCTAGCCAATTTTCTTTTGCTTTCATTTTAATCTGATTGGATGGTAGTTATTGCTAAGGACAACTAAATTGTTTATATTCAGTACAGGTTTTAGACTCTCAATTTTAGCTATCTTGAAAATCCTTTTACAATAAAATCTAAGTAGGTAGGTACTAAGGTAAGCAACAGTGAAAATGTTATTTGTTTATCTAACAAAAGGTAACGATCGAGAAAAAAGTAACGCATACAAAAGATTAGCTATATTTCACCAAATGGAATCAGGGTTGTCACTTACAGGTGCGAGTTTCATGGTGAAAAGAATATAATTCGTTTATTTTATAAAAAAAGCGTTTTTTTTTTGGTTTGTGAAAAGAAGTTTTTTATTGTGAAAGCAAACAATAAAGAGCAGTCGGTAGTCGCCTTTGTCCCCTTTGTACGAAGCTTCACTTGCACCGTTTTATTTTTAAGTCGAAAAAAACACAAGGCTTCGCTTACTGCTGTCAGTTACCTCTAGCTCGGCAGTGGTTTAGTAGGACTTGTTTTTATTCAAATGTTTCCGCTGGATCAAAATTAAATATCATGTAGAAAAGTTGTAAGAAAAAAAATAAAGGAACTGGCGCTTATTTTAAATGAGTTTTTGCAGCTGAATGAAGTGTCATGACAATGTAGTTTAACGAGACCTTAGATAAGGTAGTTAGGTGGGCGCTACTCTTTATCGCAATGTTTTTGACACTTATTCAAAACCAGACACTTTCCTACCATATAGCCAATTCAAATGTTATCAAAATTCTTAATGCTAAACTTAGCAGTTGTCTAGTCAGTCAACGTACAAATCTTATAGTTAATATGTTAAGTAGTTAACAACATAGAACAAATATAGGCTAATAGGATAGGAAAAATTCTGACCGACCTACTAATACGAATTCGAATAAAATTGTTTTGCAAAAGACATACGAATCATGGATAACAATAATTCAGTGTTAGGTCGGGATGAATAGCCAATTTGCGTGGAATGTATTGCCAGATCTGAAGATAACTTCGACCTGAACCATTCAAATGGAATGGGATTTACAAGTTACGAAAATTACCTTCAAAATAAACTAACAAAACATGGAGATTTTATGGGGCAAGCATTATAGGCTGAATTTAATCCCATTGATAAGTTTCAGAGGGAATTGGGTTTGCATGAATAATTTTATTGTATGTTTGGGTTATAATTTCCCAAATATATTTTTGTATTAATATTTAATAAATATTTACTTTTTGCCATTATAATCTCGTAATGATGAATTTTATTAATAACGATCAACGTTGATAAAATGGGTACAATATTATAGATTTGAATGACGGTATTTCAAGCGGCAAAACATATGTATTTACACCGGTATCTTTTTTTGAATCAATTTTTATAATCATTTACAGAATTAAGAATAACACTTATAGATTTCTATACTTTTCAGTTTTTGTTAATTTTCATTTCCAGTCACATCAGAAGTGTGTAAAAGTAATGGTATTTTTATGAAATAAGATTATTTTTACGTAAATGGCATTCTTACACTATAAATGATTTGGGAAATAAAGAGTAAAGTTTTCTAAGTTTGTTAAGGGGAATCTTCCGACCAGGCGAGGTGATTATGCCTGGCGGGCTACTGCCCAACAGTTTTACGTTATATATTCTCAAAAAAATTTTAACGCGATGCATTCATGGTTTATCACATCACCAGTTGCTTTTGTCGATCTACTATTTGCGTAGCCACGGTACAAAATAAATGTATTGTTTTTAAAGCAATGCAAAGTAACCTTATCCTAGCTTACCTTCAAAAACTAGAAATTTTCATTAATATTCCAGTATAGCAATATACATACATAGTTTATGAAGTAATTTGTCATACATGAGCAGCTAACTCTTTGCAACCCTCGGGAGACTTGTACAATATGCATGGCGAAGTAACGAGAAGCGAGAATGTGCTTCTCTGATACAGGTGGTGCGTTATGCTAATTCCAATTTACTTGACTAGGCACCTGTATCTTTATGGAACAACTAAATACAGTGCTAGAATAGGTAGTATTTCTGTTACTTGTACTGCGTTGAGTGCTTTAAAGATCTTGGAGTGTTTTTTTTTAGTGAGGGGAAATTCATCAAATGACGTGAATGAATGACAAATGACGATCCCGCCTAGGGCCGGGCGAGAGGGAGTATCAGACTCTTACTGACTAAAAACCCCCCTGTTCCTTCTCCTCCTCTGGGCCGAGGTCACGGTGCCTCATTGCGCTTACCCCGCCACCCCGGCTGATCTTGGGGTGTGAGAATACCTTGAAAGCAAATGTTTTATTGTTTCCAATAAGGCAGGATGGGCCAGCTGATTGTAAGTAATCAGCATCGATTGAGTTACAAGAGCATTGCCAGTCTTAGAATATGAAAAAAAACTAGTATAAATTCGATCAATTAATAAATGCAGAAGACCTATGCTTTAGTTTGAATGGGTTGTCTCGACTGGAGTGATGCCACGGCCTCGCAGAAAGGCCAGAAACCAACTTATTGTGTTTCGTTTGTATGTGAGGTTACAAAAGGCCTAACTTTCCCTTCTAAATATATTTAATCCTCACACGTCTAACCCTAAAAGGCCGGCAACGCCCTTTTTACCAATTGGTGGCATTCGGGCAGCGTAATTGCTTATCATCAGGTTATCCATCTAACCGTTTGCCGACCTATTAAAAAAAAACATGATTTAAATAAACAAAATGTATTAAAGTTTTTGCTTACTCAAAACAGAGGAAATACGAAAACATTTCAAGCATTCCAGCATTTAATTCAAAGAACAAGAATCCCATCTCTAGAATGGCGTTATTAAGCGAACTCTTCCTGAATCAGAGTCACTTTCTCGTAATCTGTCCACCATTAAAGGCACTACAACTGACTCCATTAAGAAAATAGAATGACAATATAGACCTTAATTCGTTTTACGGTACCTTTTAACCCCTAATTTAAATTCACGCAACAATTGTGAGAGCTTTAGGTCGGTAGGATAGTACTGCACTTTAATTTGAATTTACCTTTACAGGAGTGTAAAAACCCCGTAGTCGAGTCGAGGGCCCGATCCCTAATTTAAACGAGATTAGACGAGATGTCGATATAATACAAACGAAGAGGGAATATTTTTAGCTTGGCTGATTACTGTTTATTGTGCGTGGGCACTAGGTGTTGCTTTGGATATTTTTTGATCTGAAATTAGATATCGTGGATGATGATATGAATATGAGTTTTATAATAACAGCTGCTGTGATGTCTTTTTATCCGAATTCAAAAAAAAGAGGAGGTTCTAAATTCGATCGTATTTTTTTTTACACACGGAACATCTGATAGTAAGCTAGAAGCGCCGCCCATGGACACCCGCAACATCGAAGATTTATAAGTGCGTTGCCGGTCTTTTGAGGATTAAGGGATTTGAGGATTGGTCATGTGAGGAGGGACGTATTGGACCTCTCACAAGGATCTTACTCGCTTGGTGAAGTTTAGGAACGGACACGTATGCCCAATAGGCCATCGATATCATGTAGTGACTGTCTGCACAATTATTTCGTATGTAAATATGGAAATAAGATTAATTCGGCACAGATAAAGTAATCATTATTTGTCAACTGAGCGGACGAAAGATCTTTATTAAAAAACCATATCATTTAATGTCACAATAGCTACTGTCTCATCATTGAGTCGATATTTAAGCCCGCATATCCAATAACTGTGAGGACTGTGACATCAGACTCAAATTTCCATTCGGTTCGATACCTGATAATATTTTATGTCGTATACACAAGAAAACGCCGAGTTTACTAGTCTTTAAAAGTTATACTTTTCATCACTATGTAATGTAACATCCAAAAATCATTTCGCATAATTCAGAAATCGAAGCCAAGACTTTTGACGATTTGTAAAAAAGGTCGGAAGTTCGTAAAGTCACTGTAAATTATACTAAAATCATATCTTAGATTTTTATTAGAAAGAAGTTTATCAAACAAATGAACTCATAAAATATTATTTGTTCCAAAATCAAATAAAAAAACGAACACAATTTATTCTTCATTAAAAAAAGAAATGAGTTTTTGATTTAAAAAAAGGAAATTAATCATTTTTCGTTTTAAACTCTGTTCGCATCGTTTCTTTAATTTGTCCAAGAACCAGTTTGAATTGCGTGGAAACCCTATAGTTGGCTTGGTACTTTTCACATAGGTCAATGAACAATGGATGCATATACTTCAGTACACTGTGGTCTAAGGTTGGGAACATGTGATGTAAACAATGGTCGCCGAATAGGGTCATCACAGCAAAGACGTTGCCGTTTACATCTTTTCGGTCGAGAAGTGCTTCTACTTGATGCATTCCCCAGTCCGGAGTCTCGCTTCTGTAAAATATATAGTTTTATATAAGAACTTATTTATATTTAGTTTTGTTTTCTTATTTAGGTAGATATACATTATTGTATAAAGTTAGTTGTCGTGGTGGCCTGGACATTAAGGCGCCCGCTTCTCATGCATAGGTTCGAAACCTGGCAATTACCGATGTGAATTTTTCCGAGTTATATGCACTTTCTATGATCATTAAGACACCACTGACATACAGTAAAGGAAAATCATGGGGAAACCTGGATTTATATTCGAATTATAAGTCTGAAATGGCCAATCCGTTTTGAGCAAGCGTGGTGATTAATGCCTAAAGCTTATCGATGTGAGGCCTTTGCTCAGCAGTGGGCTCTTATAGGCTGATGATAATGATATGATGATATATTTAAACTGCTAACATGGAGCTAAAGATCTTAGATAAAGCAGTTTAATTATTCAGCAAAATTGTCGCAACACAACCAATGTAACTAGCAGTTGAAATTCATTAACGAATATTATGACTAGGACCTCCGTTTTCTTAAAAATCTTAAACTTACGCTGGTTGATCTCCATCCTTAATTGCATCTGGGTGATGATGAGCGGCATTTACAGCAATAGAAAAGAAAATTAGGCTGCCAGTACAATTAATCCACAACCACATGGAAATCACGTCAAGTACGGGGGCGCCACTGGCGATAATCATCCACAATGGCAGGAGTAAACCAATGGCATCGTGCCAACGATAATGACTCTTGAAAAAGCCTTGATGAAGGAATATCGAGAGGAACCTGAAATAAGCAAATGTCGCTTTTATTAATATACTTATTTATTGGCTTGCAATTTGCTAGGTATATATTAAACGTTTATATGGAAGACATTTGCAATATTGCCTTTAAGTTCAGCAGAGTGGAACTAATTTTTCACCTGCCCTAATCGTTTTGCGGGTGTTATGAGGATTTACTAAGTGACTATATTAATTTAAAAGATAACAGACAACAGCATTCTAAAAACTATTCCTTTGAAACTACGAAATTAAATCCGCCTGCCAAGTGCAGATGGCAAACACACCCTTCTCTTCTAGAAAAACCCTATTATAATCTAACTGTGAAATCTCATGAATTATCGATAATATATGTTTGTAAACATAAAAATGATGTATGTATTGGTGCGTTTAGAAGACGTGATGCGTGGAAGACCAATACCGGCCTAACAAAATAAAAGGTGTGAAACTACGCTTGCGTTGTGTTTCAACCATCAAGTGATATTACCGGACTTCCCACTCTCCCAATTTTTTTACTGTTGCATGGACGCTTGTTTCATGGGCGGCGCCGATTTCTGATGATCGGGTAATCCTTCAGCTCGTTTGCTACCCACGCCACATAAAAATAACTATTTCGTAGGATTATATCAGGTAAATGTGGCCATATTTTAAAAGGCATGTCGCATAAAAATATTTTTACTGTTGAATCAAATAAACGAGTAACGTGCGAACAAAACAAAAGTTTTGGCAGAGCAGGTGTGAATTATTCTATGGAGTTGTTGGCTTATAACTTTGCGAACTGAAAACATATGACCGAATGGAGTTCAAAAATAAATTCATACATTTGAATGTGACTGGTATAAATAGTTGTTATTTTTTTTAGGAATTCGTTTTTCAATGAATTGAGGCAAATATATTGTATGTGGACACCACAGCTCTTATTATGACTGTCTTAGGTACTAACTAATGGCAAGATTCAATTTGACATAAGCACTATACAAAGTCTATTATAATTTTATCACTCGGAGGTTAGTAAATATATCTATCAATAACTTATTAAAAAATAAATTTATAATACTGCCAATAACAATACGGCCGTAAGAGACCACATCCTAATCCTAACTAATATTATAAATGCGGAAATAACTCTGTCTGTGTGTCTTTTCTTCGCGCTTAAACTACTGAACGTATTTGTGTGAAATTCGGTACAAACATAGATTGGAACTCGAGAAAGGACATAGGATAGTTTTTATACCAAAAATTTACAGGAAGTCGCTATTCTACGTAAACGAAGTTGCGGGCAAAAGCTAGTATTATTTATTTTAAATAACTTGTGTCATTTTACGCCAATAACACAGATTACTCAATAGTTACTATGTAACAATACCTTATACAGTCGAGAAAGAATTATATCATATATGACCCGCGCGAACTTCGTGCTGCTAAGAGCAGGAGAAGGAACGGAGTGGCTTTCCCGACGATTCTGACTCGATGATTTTCTCCCTAAGGAAAACCTGGGTCTTATTGCAGGTACAAGTTTTGTGTAAAAGTTACTAACCAGGGTAACGCAGGAATCTCCAGGTGATCTAACTGTCAAATACGGGACAAGTTATTGTTCATGTTTTCAGCGTACATATCAGGCTGATGGTAAGCAATCACGGACGTTCGCAACACCGACACCGCCAATAAGTGACTTGCAGATCTCTTGGAGTTAGGATTTTGAGCAACTGTTATTACAGGATTGGAGGTGGGAGGGGTTGAGCCCACGTATACTTACACATTGAAGCACAGCGCATATATTTGATATTTCAAGTCAGATTTATGGCCGTGGTATCACTCCAGTCGAGCCGTTTTATTCAGTATCCGAACAAGAAACAAGGCCCACCCACACTTAAAGCATTTTATAACATCATTATCTATTCTATTTATTAATAAAAATTTAATAAGCACGTGAACGTGAGTATTAATCGTGAAGTCACGTGAGTTTCTATCAATGTTATTATTAAATTAAGTTGTTTAGTGATTAAAATAAATAAAAAATAATAACTTAGCGAGACGGAGATAAAAAATGTTTTATCAAAAGTGTGCACCCGACGCGGCATGCCAAAATTTTTTTAAGTTGATAAGAATGGAAACTTTTAATAATGTCTACTCATGCGCAGTACTTATATAAGGCTTCAAAATAGAATATTAATTTTCAAATTATTATTTAATTCATCAAACCCCAAGCGAACGCCGGTTTGCGCCAAACCTATATATCATTATTGTACACAAGCATATTTTTTGCTTTTAAAGGCATTCCATGTTGTAATGTCTGTTTTTAATTTTAAGTTACTGAATAAACATTTACCATGACATACAGATACACAGTTTCAGATCACAATTTATCTCTCAATTGAAGATATAATAAACCAGTTTATCACGAACCCGCTTTATATGATCGTTCCCCATATACAACAGTCAGTTTATATTGGTTTTGTAAATCTTGAAGTATAACCGAATGTAAAAATAAATAGTATTAAAATAACTCACCTTTTTATAAAGCTTAAGAAGAAAACGAAAGGAAAAAAGAAGATCTCAGTAATGAAGCCCAGTTTTGCGTGTAGTGGTTTGTCCTTTCTAGGTGTGTAAAATAAGAATGGTTCCAATGAACTTAGCTCCAAATCCATCAGGGTGTTCGTGTATAGGTGATGGGATAACACGTGCGATACTCGAAAGTCCCTGTAAACAAAAGTAAAAGAACTTTTATTTATTAAAATCTATAGCAGCCCAGAAACATTTAAGCCTATGCTTACACTTCTAAACTTGAAGTTAGAGAAAGAACGTAGTGGCCTTCAGTCAGTTGTTAAAGAGTCTGGCACACCCTACCATCCAGATCAGCAGAAGTCATAATTAGGATGATCCCTTCCACTTCAAAAAGCCTAGCTACTATACTGTAGTTCATTCTTTTGAGGTGGTGGAGGAGATAACACCAGATATTTCACAAATGCTATATGACTGCCTTAAAAATCTACTTGACAATTCCTTGAAAATGATAGTAGATAGTCAAATAATAGTTACATAATATAAAAAAAATCAGTTCTTCAAGACTTTAAAGGATGGCCTGTGGAAATCTTTTGATCGCAACTAAAAACACTCAGAATTTTCTCAAGATGCAGACGAAGACATAAGGAATACTTATAATGTCTCTCCACATTTACTCCTTGCTGGTAGTAATTAAACTCTGTTAGATCATAGTAGCTAATTTAATATCAAGTATACATCAGTTTTTCGCAAGTTGAAACCGAAACTAAGGATTTATTTTGCTTTCATTAAATAAAGTTCGAGGCAATGTAAAACTTTGTTTTTCTTCCTCCTGACCTTTACCCAAGAAGATTGGGGTCTAACTAGATTTAGCTGAACGTTAGTAGTTTACATGAAACGAATGGACTGAAACTTAAACAATGTTACTCCTTATAATCTCCGAAATGGTTCGAAGGTGAAAAATGGGTGTTATCTTGTTACATCCAGTTATGTTATAAATGCCATGTTATTGAGGATGAACCTATAGCTGTAAACACAGAATGCCATATACAGTTTTTTAAATCTAACTACCGACCATTTATTTCGTTATGTGGTCTGGAGTTTAACGCGCCCGCTTCTCATGCGCAAGTACTAATAAAACTTTTTCCTAGTTATTGTATACATATTACATTATAAGATTATTTAGATACCAATAATAAACGGTGAAAATTTCGTTAGGAATCTTGGACTTATATAGTTCCTTATTATAAGTTTGAAATCGCCAGTCCGCTTTGAGCAAGCGTGGTGATTCATGCTATGAGTATTAATCACCATTTGCTCAGTCGTGGGCACTTTACATTAATGATGATGAGAGCATAAAATCCTAACTAAAGTGTCCACAATAATACCTACACTTAATATGATGTTTGCCAGCCACTTTTGTTTATCACTAGCTTATCACTCGATAGTTATTACGAGTTCCGCAGTTAGGAGGAACACTGCATCATTCTGATATGATTTTGCAGTATCATGCTAAGTCAGGTTTGGACGTCAAAATAAGGACATTATTGTAACCTAAACCTTTTAAGTTATCGTTTGTAAATACATTTAAAAACTTATATAGATATGTGTATAGCTGTTTGCGTTAATAACATTGTTTAAATTGACAGTTTTTGGCAGTAGCTGGTAGTAGTCTTAGTCTTATTGGTATGCATTGTTTATAGACGCATTTGTCCGTGTTGTTATTTGTTTAAAATAAAGACTCACTCATCTCAATTACTTAATCTTTCACTTGTGGTAATTCGAAACACAATAGAAGAACAAAAGTTCGCTTAGGATTTGATGAATCAGCTTAGAAAATCTCTACAGGTTAAACCACTAGTCAAAATGTATGCTAATGTATGCTATGTTTGTTATTAGTTTCAAAAAAGACTCCTTGATACTAATCACAATTTCAAGATAGTCCCTAATTCCTTATAAAATATTTATAATATTCATATCGGGCAAGGATGCCATATTTAAAAACAGGCCGGCCAATACACAGGGCCCATACATAAACTTTGTTTGATTCAACTCTCACTTTACTGAGTTTTATTTCATGCTGAAGCCATTTCAACCGTTAGGAGTGCTATTTATCCCAAAAGGATAAGAGGCGTAATTTATAGGATGAAATGCGGACCGACGGCTTACGTGTATTGTTTGGAACGCCGTAATATATGAACAAATGGATTACCATATTAAGTCAACTCTAATGACATAGAAAACCGTTTTAAATCAAAGAGGAAGAAACGTTGTTTGGGGTCTAAAGGAATTCCACGCGGTTGTCTTAAAGTGTTAATTGAAATGATTACCCCAACTATTCCTTAGTAACGATTTTGTTTTGAACACAATTACGGAAGATTGAATTAAGTTACCGTCCAATGAATGTGACTGCGGTGGTTAGAAATGAAATTGAAAAAGCAAATGTTCATTAAACAGATGTCGACTATATTCAATTTTCAAAATGTAATCTGAGCAATTTCTATTTACAGATATTTGCTAAATTTTTTTTTTTGTGAAGTATACATAATTTGATTAAGTATTTGTCTACTTTCATACGTCATTTAGGTAGTTAACGGGCACTTCTATATGAAGTGAATCACTTTAAATGACCTCTAGGAGTCTAGACCGTTTATACGTATAATCACATTTTTGTCTTGGTAAACTATTCTTCGTGTCCTTGAAAACTAACAGTATCACCTTAAGAGGAGTCAGATTATGACAAAGTTCTGAAAATAATTCACCCAAATGGTAAGTAATGGCTTTCCATGAGAATTGCTCTTTGGTCTCGTTCCAATTCAATAATGTTTGCTTTTAAAATCATATTTTTCTAGCTATACATTTCAATTCGCAACTTGATGGGCTGTGGTATTCATTCTTTTAAGCTAAACGAACATTCGCTGTTGTGTATTTTTAAGATGGCTTCCATGCAGTTGTACAGTTCCCAGTAAACTTTTTTTCATTTGGTAATAAAATGTCATTAAAATCTATACTGGGCTTAAAGTTATTAATTAACTAAAGTTTGGAGTCTTTAAGTTACTTAGCGATGTCTCGCCTTGATTGAAACTGTAATTTTCTAGTAAGCCTAATTAAGCCTCGGTATCATGGCTTTAACATCGATAGTGGATAAGATTTTGAACTTAAATTTATGAAATGAAAATAAGTGATCGAGCCATTTCGCTTTTCGTTAAAGTTATATTAATCTGAGCATTATCAGTCAAAAATATCAGTACTAAGAAATTGTCTTTATGAAAAATATGAAAATTTAAGTATTAGAAAGTTGTTGTTATGCGTAATTTTTTTAAGTGCCCACATTGATTCCACTCACTAAAATATTTTAGTTACTAAATAGGTACCCGTCCGGCTTCGCACGGATACTAAATTTGATAACTATTTAATGGCTGTTATAAAGCGCTCTCTTCTAAAACTCTATTAAAAAAAAATACATCAGATTCCGTTACCCAGTTTTAAAGATTTAAGCATACATAGAGATATAGGCGCCGTGAAAGCGCGTAAACTACGGAGCGATACGTACTCACCTGTAAGACCACATGCTCATATTAAACAAATACATACGCCAATTCGTTTTCCTGTGTATATAATTGTGACAGCAGACAGTTAAAATCGCCAAGTTGACTGACGCGTATGTATACCAAAACTTCACAGCATAATAATTAGTCACCCAGGAGGCCATAGCTGAACTAATAAGCAACGATACAAACAGACCATCAGTTATATTATTTGCTGTTCTAGACGCATCTTTGGGGATTTTCTTTAACTCCTCAAAGGCCGCTCTCTTTAGCGTTTTATAAAAGCCATCTTCTTTAAACGTGAACGGCGAATTACGTGGAGTCTTTGCATCTCTTATATAATATTGTGTAAGAATTTTCTCTGTGGATGGGTTCAAGTGATGAGATTCAAAAGCTTCAGTGATGTCGGTTCCCTGGAAAATAATCCCAGATTCTTTACAATTGTGGAGTTTTAATTCTTGTTGTAAAGGAATATCTCTGGTTGACATTTACGGGGTTATTTGTTAGTTTTTTTATTATTGTGTGGTATTTGTATGGTCAAAAGACTACTTTGGCTTTTATAATAAGATTGTAACTAGAAACAATATTACTTTATAAATAATTTATTGCAAATTATTTACTCAAAATTGTTCGCTCTTCAAGTACATTGTGTTACACAATATTGAAAAGTGTAAAATGCATATCGTATTTCAATGAGTCGATATTTATTCTTAACTAATCGCAAAAATAAAAAAAAATCACGTCAAGATCTGAGCATAACGTAGAAAACTATTTCAATAAGATTAAAAATAAAATTCAATTTTCTTACTTGGGTGAGTTCCAGCCACTCTTCACCTCCCGGGTGACGCTTTATAAACCTCGTTAGGTCGTATAGTTTGTCATGAATACGCCATAATCCTTCAGCACCGTCGTCCATAGCCTTTCCAGCGAGCCATTGCACCGGGTCTCTAAGACCGTCATCTCGTAACGAAGGATATTTTAACTGCGGAAAACTCACATGAGTATTTTTATCTATCGCTCTTTGCTGCGCTACCTCTTCCCAATCCGCATTAGGTGGCATTTTCAACCTTAATTTCAATTAAATAAAAACTATTATTACACCACACGCGACTGCTCACAAATGTTTATTACTCATAACTCGGCCATCAATACGAGATGTATTAAATTAATGGCAAGTTCATTAGTACAAATAATAGATAGTTGATTAGTTCCTTTGATGATGTAAATAGCGGCATTAAATTGCCAATACATTAGCCTAACGATGCATTTTGATTTTACTCGGCGGGAAATGTTTATTAATGGCAGTTTAATTTTATGCAAGATTTCGGGCGCTTTCGTTTGCTTTGAAAATAGCTTTGAGGTCTTTATTATTTTAGGCTGCGTCTTTGCAAATTAATGGCTCTTTTTACGAAGCAGGAAAGTAAAAGATTATGAGGAAATCTTGTTGGTTGTTCTCGTTGTCTAAATGTACCTATTTTACAATGGGGCGTGGGAATGATTTCATTTCGTGTAGTATATTTCGTAGATTATTTTCAAAAGACGCGGAGTCTGGTCAACCGCGTTTCCATCGTGCTGTGGGCTCAATTCCCGCGCGAAACAACTCCACAATACTTTGTTGTGGATCTAGTGTAACATGGTAAAATTGAATATTCGAACACACACTCAAAACACTACAGAACAACGTAATGTGGGCCAACGTTTTAAAATGGAACCGGGCTGAAAAAATGGCAGATTTTTTTAATGATCTTAAAACAATTCCGTGGACAGTGTGTAAGGACTATAAGGTCACTGGAAGTCCATCATGATAACCAAGTACTACTATATATTTGTAAATTATCATTATCTTACATTAGATTAGAAGGGTTAAGCCGAACCAAATAAGTAGGAAGTAAGATATAAATTACTTATTCGATGCTCCAATTCGCTTCATATGCTACCAACTACGACAATCATGGTTCGGTACAAATGGGCCGACTGGACTGAAGCGATTCCTCGTTTTCATAGAAATAAACCTTGCGTTGTGCTTCGCCATATAAGTATATACGTGACGTTGCCCGTGCTGGTCCAATTATTTTGCCTTGTCTTCAATCTTCAAACTTGCAGTCCTTAAGTCCTAACCTTTTGGAACTCTTTGGAATTAACTTTTAAATTGTAGGTGTGTGTTTTAATAAACAAATATGCATACTTCTACCTACCCTCTTAAAACGTTAATCTTTATTCTTTAAATATATGAACCAAATAATGTCATCTTTTTGTATTAACCAGCAAATTTTTTTGTAATAAAGTAAAGACTCATAAGATATCATGGCTGGTTACAAACAAAAATGAAGTCAATCTTGTTAGATAATCTCGTGTTGATAATATTTTGCAAAATGCAAACAATTTTGGTGCAGTATTCTGGTAGAGACGTATAATTACGTCATACGACGATTGCCATCTGTCTCTTTTTGATGTCGGTTCGGAGTTTTTCAAAAACTATCTTAAAACATTTACGTTTATGGTTCATTTTTATATATAAGTAAAGTTTTTTTTTTAATTGTCGAGGTCACCTTTCCATTCTGTACCCTTTGGTATTTCATTAGTTTGCATTTGGAGGAAAATATTGTTTGTTCGACGACTTCTTGGTGGGTATGCATATTGGTACATTTAATAATAAACAGAACCATCTAAAATTATATAGCTCTCACAAAAAACAGTTGAAAAGTCAAACGATTGCACTCGTTTCTAATGATTTTATTTTTGTAACCAAAATAATCTTATCTATGGTCAATTATACTAGATTGCTTAATATTTTCGAATAAAACAAATCATTGTGTGTCTGTATCGTTTAGACAGTGTCTAAATTCCGGGTCGAGCGGTATACAACGGAGTGAAGTGATAACAACCTAACCTTTATTTCTTATTGTTATGTGTTAAATATTTCAAACATGGCTCCTAAAGTCACAAATTATATTGAATGGGCCCATCAAACAGCGGCCGAGAAAAAAACTCATGTCAGTTTCCCGCAGTTGAAGTACCCATCGTTAAGGGAAGGAGGGCTAAAGGATCCCATACAATGGTTGGAAGGCAAAGCCATGGACGATGGAGCTGAAGGTTTATGGAGAATACGTGATGGGCTTTACGATTTCGAAGAATTTCAAGATAAACATCCCGGCGGCGCTGAGTGGTTGGAGCTCTCTAAGGTAACCTAATTACAGTTCAAATATATTTTTGTTGTGAGCAAAGTACGGTTTAGGTCCGTACTAATAAAATATGAACGTCAATTTGTCCAACGTAAGCAATATTTGTGATTTCTTTTTCCATTTACCGTGACGTTAGGCATGATTTATGATTGTGTATGAATCAATATTGTGTGTCTATTTGTTATGACAAACGAATTTGCAGGGGACAGACATTACAGAGGCTTTCGAGTGCCATCACTTGAATCCTGTTGTGGAAAAGATGATAGAAAAGTATTATAAAAGAGACGCTAAGACGCCAAGAAATTCTCCGTTCACATTTGAGGAAGATGGTTTTTATAAAACTTTAAAACGAGCTGTCAGAGAGGAAATAAAGAAAATTCCTCCAAGTAAACAAAAGCGGCCAGATTTTATCATTGATGCTCTTTTTGCAACCGTTTTGGTTGCGTCTGCTGTATCATGCTGGTCCACCAACTATTGGATTGTGATGGGATCTTATCTGACGGCGTCTTTGGCTATGGCTTGGACCACGGTTGCATCACACAGCTATGTTCACATGAAAACTAACTGGAGGATGTATCTTTTCAACCTTACTTTAATGTCCTACAGGTAACAATAGACCTAATTGTTTTTTTTTTTGTAATAGGCCGGCAAACGAGCAGACGGATTACCTGATGGTAAGCAATCAGAGCCGCCCATGGACACCCACAACGGAGGAGTTACGAGTGCGTTGCCGACCTTTTAGGGATTAGGGATTTGGAGATTTAGGGATTGCGGAGGCCCAATCCTTGGATGAAGGATTGGGCCTCCGGTAACCTCACTCACACGGCGAAACACAATGCTGTGGTTATTTCACGCCGGTTTTCTGTAAGGCCGTGGTATCACTCCGGTCGAGCCGACCCATTCGTGCCGAAACATGGCTCTCCCACACTTAAAACTACTTAATTACTTATTTTTTTGATGTTTAGTGTATCTGTGTGTGTATCTTTGTATGATGTTACGATAGCGCAGTTGTCCGTGTTTATCTTAATTGAACAAAGTACATATTTTTTGAAATTATTGTTATTTATTGACATTATTTCATAATATATTTCATATTTTAAAATTGTGTATAGAAACGTTACAGTGCTGTTTCTTCTTTGTTACAGAGACTTCAGAATATCTCATGCTCTTTCTCACCATCTGTACCCGAACACCCTGATGGATTTCGAAGTCAGTGCATTTGAGCCAATAATCTTCTGGAATCCGAGACAGAAATCTGCTCGTGTATACTTTACACTTTGCATTGAACTTATTATCTATCCATTTGTTGCTCTCATCAATTTCGCTCGGAGGTGAGCAAGTATTTAAATTTTACTTTATGGTCCATCATATGACCTTCAACGCCTATTTATTACCTTACAACGCGCAAATTTTGGCCCTATTGTATAAATGGAACTGTATTAAAAGGTATTAAAAATGTAAAAGGTAATCCGTTATTTTATGCCTTGTGACCTCAAACTCAAGACTGCACGGTTGGCAGCGTGTCGCGGGTTCGATTCTCGCACGGAACAAGTGTTGTTGTTTCGATTCTAGCTGTAATATATGTTTATGGTGAATTTGTATGTTTATAAAAACATACACAGGAGAAAATCCTTGGAAGGGGAGAGGTACTTGTTTAAATCTCTTTTATACTGACAGTTTTGTTCCTCGACGTTATTTAATGAACTTGTTTGTATGGGAAAGATTTTTTTAAATATATTTTTTGAATTTTTGTTATGGTTTCTGACCTATTCCGAATACTTGAAGACGTTAGGAACGGCAAAACCGATTCGCTAACGACTAACTTTTGGCGAGACTAATTGACAACTGTAGGCCTACAATGACGTGTCAAAGCGTGAATCTTGCGAGCGAGAAAGAGGGATGGAGCTATACACCTTTTATAGCTCACTCCCTCTTCTTAACCCACCCTCTGTACCTTCTTATGTATAAAAGGAAGATCATGCCAAAACAGTTTTAGTATATTTTAACAACATTATTTTCAGATTTGCAAGCATTTTTATCCGTAAAGATTTCTTCACACGGCACTATAGATGGCATGACGTCATTGGGCTTCTTCTTCCCGTCTGGATGTACTTCGCCAGTGGATCCACTTTCTACCACGCTTTTGTTACCTGGTTGTGGATTAACTGCACTGCAAGCTTTATCTTCTTTACCATCGGAACTAATGCAGCTCACCATCATCCTGATATTTTTAAAGACGGAGATCAGCTAAAGTAAGTTTTATTTTGATAAATAACCTGTGAGTTAATCCAAAATATCAGTATTTTTTTTGTGAGGGGAAGATCATCAAATGACTTCTCTCACCCAGGGCCGGGCGAAGGAAGTATCAGACTCTTACTGACTTAAAACCCCCCGTTACGCGCCGTACGCTCGGATCTGGATCTAGTCGGGCAGCGAGCTACCCTTACTCGCCGTCCGCAGACCCGCGCTGACGGTGGCCGGAGATCGTCTCTCGATCCCCTAAGCCCGGAAAGTCGCCTACTGCGGCGGCTGGGGCGCGAGGAGGATAGTTTCCTCACACTCTCTGCCTCTTCCTTTGCGAGGATCGCTGCTTCGCAGAAAGAGGAGACGGCTTCCCAGTTCCTCCCGCTACGAACCATGGCCGGGCACGAGAGGTCGCCGCCGCTGCGCCGATCACTTCCCCGAGGACACGGCGCTGCTCAGCCCAATAAGGGCACACCGCCACGTATGCTCCACCGTGTTCTCTAGGTGGTCCTCACAATGACGACACTCGGGCGTTTCCTCCCGATAGATCCGAGATAAGAACCTACCGAAGCTGCCGTGCCCAGTAAGCACCTACGTCAGTCGGAAGGTGAGGACGCTGTGGCGTTTTCCAAGCCACTCCTCAAAGAGGGGTCTTACCCTGTATTTTCTATTCCGTGGGTCTTACCGCTGCTATAACAGCGTGCTCGGCCCTCAGTTGCGACAGTCGTTGCTTCTACGCAGCCATGGGATCTCGCTGGAGCTCATTCCGCCACGATTTAATTTCCGTTCATTCTCCGTCACGGAGTCGTCCAGGCTCATGATGAGTAGCTCCAGGCATTGGTGGGCCTGAACACGCGAGCCTCGTCCGCCGCCGCAAGGCACGTCCTGAGCCTCTCGGCAAGGGCGTCAGCAGATGGGCCACTGGCGGCGCCGGGGACCTCCAAGAGACGGGCTCCAGTTGCGGTAACCCTTATCGCAAATCCGTTTAGCACGTTAAGCGCCATGGGGGTCACCGGTGACCTCCGTTAGCGGAGGATTTGCCTTCAACAGTTTACTGTCGGCAGTCAAAGGCTTAGGGGCCCCCCGAACTCCGCAGTAGTAACCGTCCCCTTTAATTTGGGGGACGTCGCCGTACATCACCCCCTTCTTAGCCGCATCCGGCTGTAGTGTGATCACTACAGCAGATTAGGTTAAGCCTGGTTTGTAATAAATGTCGATGGATGGATGGAATGGCCTTTTGTCACAGATAATTGTTAGAAAAAAAGTTAATTAAGTCGTATCAAAACGTTAATATTATGATGCATTTTTAATATTACTCATCTTTATTGCGAAAAAAATAATCTTATCAGTATCGTCAAATGTAGTAACAGTAGCTTTAGCATTCCTCGGCCGTATATGATCTAACATATTACTTACACTATAACTCTTCAACTGTCAAAAGTATTCGAAAAAATATAGCAAAACTTTTAGTAGTTGAGCGTGTATAAAAATTCTCTCAATTAATTGTGACTAACATTTCCATAAATCTCATTGTAAAACATTACGACTGCACGGTTTGTGACTTCACAGTTGATGTAGTTCACAAATTGTGGTTTCGGGTCTGGATGTATTGTTTATGTGAAATTACGTTTAGTTTGTAATATTTTATGTGAAATTTAGTATTTTTATAAACAGACCCACGGAACGAAAACACTAAAGCGAGAATGTGTAAAACAAGGTATTATCATATGTACAAAAGTAATTTAAAATCACACACATTTATGCTATACTAGATACTGGCGCGCGGTTTCACCCGCTGGTCAGCTCCTACAGAACGTAGCGTGATGTTTTTTAGCTTATAAGTAGCCTTCCTCGGTAAATAGACTAACGAACACAAAAATTATTGTTTTAATTCGACTCAGTAGTTGCGGAAATAAGCGCGTTCAAATAAACAAACAAACTCTTCAGCTTCATAATATTATATATAAATCGTAGTCCTAGATAGGTCCCAATGGAAAAATACTGTGGACGCCCTCTGCCCCACCTAGGGGCATAGGAACTTAAGTCATAGAATAAACAATATTAATGTTTACAGAGGTGAAACCGTCGACTGGGGCATGCATGAGCTCGAGGCAGTGATGGACCGCACTGACATCAACAGCAGTCTCTTCAGGTCCATGACGTTCTTCGGAGACCACGCCCTCCACCACCTCTTCCCAACTTTGGACCATGGAATATTAAAACAACTTTACCCAGTATTTTTGGAACATTGCGAAAAGTTCAAAGCCAATTTCCGATTGACCTCGTCCTTTGACCTTTTTATAGGACAGTTGAGAATGGCTGTCAAAGAAAATCCTAATGTTTTGGATGATTCACGCTAGTGATGACAATTTGTTAATTTGAAACGTTTAACGAAAATTTTACGTTACTATAAGTGCTTAATTTTATTTTTAAACAAGGTCGTTTCGAAATGACTTCATAGGATTGGACTTACCTGTAAACTTAGGTTAACTTTGGATTCATTTTTAAGTTCGAAGAACAATGAACAGATACAAAGAAATTCCGTAGATTAGTATAAAAATATTAATTGTAACTATTTAACAAAATATTTAGTATACTTCATGATTATCTTATCATTAAACTTAATTATGAGAGACAAAGCAAATATTTAGGAACAAGTAATGAATTCCAGTAAACGGATAGACGAAATTAATCTGTTTTAATTATCGTTTGAAGCGTAAAGGTCGCTGTCATTATACACAAAATATGCTTAATTTATGTTTACCTACAAACAATGTCTCATTAAATAATAATAACAACATTTGCTTGCTTTTCCTTCATTTTGATTTCCGTTGTTGAATAACAAGACACCCACTTTTATGTTATAATTTAGGAGTTTATGGAGCTGAGTATGGTGTGTGGTTTGTATTGCGATGACAATAAATTAAGATACGTTTACTGTGAACTAACCTCACAATAAGCGCCTACATATTTGATGGAAAATTTGATTTCGGATGACCCTAAACCTTTTAATAACCTGAATAACCTGAATTTGATTTTTTTGCGTTGTCTTTCGTCAAGTGAGCACTTTAAGATTACACACAGTACAATTAAGATATTTTACCGGAGACCAAGTTAAGGAGTAACGAGTGCGTTGCCGGCCTTTTTGACAATATAGGGTTGGGCCACCGGTAACCTCACTCACACAGCGAAACACAATGCTGTGGTTGTTTCACGCCGGTTACCTGTGAGGCCTTAGTATCACTCCGGTCGAGCCGACACATTCGTGCTGAAGCTGGATCTTCCACGCTTCTTTTTCTTTGAGCTAACTCAATTAATACCCCTTTAAAGGGTAGCACCGCACTTGTGACTCCTCTGGTGCTATGGGTGGCACCGATTGCTTATCATCAAGTGGTCTGTCTTCTCTTCTGGTTTGTCACCTTATAGTATAGTAAAAAACATAGTTATTATGGGCAAACGCTGTGTGTTATGCAGATTTCAAAACATCGAGCTCAGTGGCGTGCAATTGGGGAGGCCTATGTCCAGCAGTGGACGACAACAGGCTGATGATGATGATGATGATGATGATAACTTCAACATTTTGAAGACATACAGAAAATTGAAAATTTACAAATAAGTAGATAAGCTCAATCCTTTCCCTGTTTTCAATTCGTGGTGGCGTCAATTTACCGTCAGGTGATACGTAGGCTCAATAATAATTGCTGCCCTTACTCGAACACCAAATCTAAGATCCTATATTTTGTGATCACTTGAACTTACACGAAATCAAGAAAATAGAAAACGAAACATATTCATCCTACACGTGAGTAACCCACGATTTTTAGTTAATTTAATATGTCTCACGATAGTTATTATAAAAACAACAAAACAGATATTAAAATGAAAAATCTTTGTAATTTTAATTAATTTGTTGGGTACGTAGTTATTATCAATATGCCAATGTGTTGTCATACAAATATAGTAGTATGATGATAACCGCGACCTTTTGCTTGCGCCGTGACTTCGGTTATCAAAAGTCAGTGAATAAATTATCGCAATCTACTGTTCCCAACAATAACACACAAAGGGGCATGCAATATGAGCAGAAAATGGAGATTCGAAATCCAGAGGTTAGAAAGAAACAACCAATACCACTGTCAAAAGTTGTAACCATATTTTGGTACCGTATTTTGGTAGTAACTCGCGATTGCAAAAAACATCACTATTATATAGGTTAAAAGAATCCGATGTCCTTCTATTCGTCGATTTACGCGTAACTTTCTGCCCCGCACAGCAAAACTTTGAAATAATCTTTTGGTGGCGGTGTTTCCGAACCGATACGACCTTCAAACCTTCAAGAAACGAGCTTTCTCCTTCTTGGAAAGCCGCTAATGTGCCTGCAACTCTTCTGCTGCCGCATGTATTTATAGGTGGCAGAGATGCTCCGCTTACTATCAGGTGATCTATCTGCTCGTTTGTCTCATATTTCATAAAAAAGATGGTCCAGAGACAATTCGTTGTACTAACTATACTCGTTTACCTTACAGAAGACTTGGGTTCAAAGATTTGAACAATATCAGTCATGATTGCGAAGCAACGTTGCAGTTCCATCAAATATGTTTTCATTAAAGCGTTTGCTTCCCTCAGTAGCATTACTAGATTCCGGATTATATTTTAATAACCCTCAAAACTAAAAGCAAATTAACGTCTTCAGTCGCAATCAACTAATCTTCAACATCTCCAAAGGTTTCTTGAATATAGAATATCAATATTACATTTCTGGTACTAAAATTTAATATTCATCTTAAATTACAATCTCTAAACTGGCTAGTTAGAAGGCGACGGCCCATTAAGCTTGGTGTAACAACTTCATCACTTGCCAGGCGGACTCCCATAATTACCGTCGAAATATTGCAGCTTCTAAATGAAATAAACCTAACTCTGCTACTAAATGTATAGGGTAGTTATTTAAATGATCCGCGATTTCAATTTACAATTTGAAGTACGTTTGTTTGCGTATAATTTTAATATATTCATCTGTAATACCCAGCTTTGTATTAATAGCAGTGGTTTAATATCCAGCAGCTGAAAAATTCGTGTTTTGTAAAAGAGAAATAAAAGAAGACTAAATATGCCATTTCTGTACTGAGAGTGCGACTACCAATCAAGTTGTTTTTGAACCTGAAAGCGGACTGGCAATCTACTACCTATTTATCCCTAAAATATTACTCGTAGACTTGTAAAATAACAGGTGAATGGTGGATATTATATGCTCATGAATACAAAAATCTTGGAGAAATTCAAGCTTTGCTCAAATTACTTTCTTTGTTTTTAATTAATTTTAAAATTTTCTTCTCTCATCTTCACGCCAAAAGAGGCATTTGACCCTATTTTATTTTCGTTTGGGGTCGATAAGCGAATCTATAATATTTATGTTTTGTTAGGAAAATATTCAAGAGTGATTACAAAAGCAAATTGATATAAGACGAGGCGAGTATACAAGTAAAGATTTAAATCGGTTTTACAGTTAAGAGTGTGCACACGAAGAATACCAGTGATTTGCCAAAAACATAATTGTTTAAATAAAAGAAATAGCTTAAAATGGCCCCTAAAGATTCGAGTTATATCGAGTGGGCTCATAAAACTGCGGCAGAGAAGAAAACACACGTTAGTTTCCCACAGTTAAAGTACCCCTCTCTTAGAGATGGAGGGTTGAGGGACCCAGTACAATGGTTGGAAGGAAAAGCTATGGATGATGGTGCAGAAGGCTTATGGAGGATACGGAACTCTCTTTACGATTTCACGGAGTTCTTAAACAAACATCCTGGCGGTTCCGAGTGGCTGGAGCTTGCTAAAGTAAGATATTTGATTGACATGTTGATTTTCCATTGTTTTTTATCTATATATTTTGTTCTCACCTTCTATTTCACATGTGTGTAACATAGAAACAAATGAAGTTAAAGAAAAAAAATAAAAAATAATAAAAAAAAAAAATAATAAAGTGAATAACAACAGACACGGATTTGCAGGGAACCGATATAACAGAAGCGTTCGAGTGCCACCATCTAAACCCAGTAGTGGAAAAAGTTAAAGACAAATACTATGTGAGAGATGCTAAAACTCCAAGAAATTCACCGTTTACTTTTGAAGAAGATGGTTTTTATAAAACTTTGAAACGGTCTGTGGCTGAAGAGCTAAAGAAAATTCCTGAATCGGAGAAGAAACGGTCTACTTTGATAATTGATGGACTTTTTGCAACGTTACTGATATCATCGGCTTTGTCTTGTTGGGCTACCAATTACTGGATTGTGATGGTCTCATATTTGGTAGCGTCCCTCACTTTAGCATGGACGACAGTTGCAGCTCATAATTACATTCACATGAAGACTAATTGGAGGATGTATCTTTTTAACTTAAGCTTATGGTCTTATAGGTAAATTAACACTTAAACAAAACTAGCTTTTTCTTAAAAAGTTTTTATATTGTCCAAAACTATGAATGGAGCTTGTTGACAACATACGTATTAAAATAAAAATTAATCAAGACATTGTTATATAAAGACTTTATCAACTACGACCTTTTGATTAAAATTTTAATTTCTGTTTTTATTGTTAGGTACATACATGATAACAAATATAAATTAACGACGATTATTGTTATTTAAATGCTAAAATACCTTTTCGCTACTTGTTTTTTAATTGATTTGTTCAACTTTAAAAGTTTATTGACCTTGCTTATTTTTAAGGTTGACTGGTAGATAATGCTTTTACAAAGGCCACCTAAGATATAAAACATTTTTTTAAATTAAATTAAGAGTGTACTAATCGTAGAGAGAGAAAGAGACGGAGATTTTATTTATTTATGAATTGTGTTACAGGGATTTCAGAGTTTCACATGCACTCTCTCACCATGTCTACCCAAATACCCTGATTGATTTGGAGATCAGCGGCTTCGAGCCCATTGTGACTTGGATTCCTAGAAAGAAACCAGTTTTTGCAAAGTTCACCCTACTGATAGAGACTATAGTGTTTCCATTCCTGTTTATCCTAAACTTTTTAAAGAGGTAACTATTATATTTTACAAACTTTTATTTAACTTGCAAAGTAAGTATTCATGCATGTTTGTGACTTGATATTTTGCAGCACAATTTGAAACCAGATTAAATGTTGAACCTATTGCGCTGTAATGTTGTATACATATTTGGTTTACACAACAAAAAATAAGCTAGTTGTATGACTTGACAAGACTTTAGTTATCCACATATGACTAAATGTTTTAGTGACGGGGTTTATTGACAAACCTGAAATCTTTTTTTAAGTTTTATTAAAATTAAAATTGCATTGTAAATACCAACCTAATTAATTTTTCAAAAAGGAAACAGGGATAGAAGTTCCATATAAAAGCAAATCATAAATATAGAGTAAACTTGCAGATGCTATAAAGAATAAAGAAGGTACTAATGAGGACTTTGAAGTTCTCGTGCTTAGTATAGTCGCGACTAGTATGTCTAAACATTTGTTGTGAAAAGTAATTTTTAAATGAGAGTTAATTTTCTGTAGCTATATTAACAATATCAACGTAGCCGTGGTCATAAAACCAAATACAAACCATGTTCAAAAAACCTATCTGCCAAGAATAACGAAGTTTAACAATTTTCATTTTTGTCTTTTTAGGTTTATCAGCAATTTCATCCGCAAAGGTTTCTTCACTCGCCACTACAGATGGCATGACGTCATTGGTCTCCTTCTTCCCGTCTGGATGTACTTCGCCAGTGGGTCCACTTTCTACCACGCCTTTGTTAACTGGTTGTGGATTAACTGCACTGCAAGCTTTATCTTCTTCACCATCGGATCTAATGCTGCTCACCATCATCCTGATATTTTCAAAGACGGCGATCAGCTAAAGTAAGTTTTACGATTAAATTTAAATAGTTTCCATCCGCGACTTCGCCCCCGTTGTATGTTGATAAATAACCTGTGAGTTAATTAAAGGTATCAGTATCTATATACCAAATTTCAACCAAATCATTCAAGACGTTTTGCGTGACAGAATAACAAACACACGTCTATACATTCTGAAAAACTTATACATTTATATATTAAGTAGGTAGGTCAGAAGGTTGTAATACAAACTTCTTAGATTCCCAACTCACACACTTCGATATAATTTTATTACATTTTAGATACACATCAAATTAATTGTATACTATCCTCTTTAAAGAGATGATTAAAGTTCTGTTGGTAAAACAGAGCCCAATCCCTACCTATCCTCAATACCCAAACCCCTATCCTCAAATCACTAAAAACCCACAACCACAAAAGACCCAACAACGCACGTGATCGTCTTCTCCTTTGCCCAACTAAAGAAGAAAGAATAAAGAAAAAAAACATAAAAAAGGAAGGATAAGTTCCATGTTATTAATTAAACTATTTTTCACTTTTAGAGAGAAGACTGTGGACTGGGGCATGCACGAGCTTGAAGCTGTTATGGACCGTAACGACATTAACGACAATTTCTTCAAAGTGATGACATTCTTCGGAGACCACGCACTGCATCACCTGTTCCCAACATTGGACCATGCTCTCTTGAGGCACTTGTACCCTGTATTCTTAAAACACTGCGAAGAATTCAGGGCTAACTACAGACTGACGTCACAATATGATTTCTTCATTGCTCAGCTCCGAATGGCGGTAAAGGAAGATCCGAACGTTTTGAAAGAATCATCATAAAATTGGCTTTTATGTAACTAAGTCTGTATTTATAAATTTGTTATGTTATTATTTAATTATGAGTTTTTATTCCAATAAGTAATAATATTAAGTATATTATGAAGCATACTTTCAATTCAAGCAATAACGGGAGCTCATTAGACTTAAGGACAGGCACGCATTTAGACTAAAATACCAAACAGAATCCTACTAAGAGGATGCCTGCCAAGACCCTGTCTTTTCTGTATCCAATAGAATTTAGGCATTCTATTGATTTTAATGAAATGGCAGCTATCCACGAGGTCAATGAGTGATGCATCAACTTTTCACTAGTGTCGTGAGCAGTGAGATAACGCAATTAATAAACAATAATATATTTATGATGTCATGCACGATGTCATGCAATATTATGCGCTTCAACTGTGGAGTATGACTTCATTTGGAAAACAATTTGTTTACTATGATATTTTTGATCACCTATTCTTGTGAGATCTTATCGAAAATTATTGGTATTTTCTCCACAAGTGGGAATGCTAGAATCTGAACGAATCTGTTTCCTATTTTCTCGTGCAATTGTATGAGATGAAACACCAACGTGGGTTATCTTAGCACGGACCCATCGTGGAGCAGGAGAAGGAATATTGTGGTTTTAGCGTCTGACACTGATAGTTAGGGCGGGAGAAGTCATTTGATAATATTTACCCTGAATAAAAGAGGGATGCCTTCAGTAATCAATCTGACAGTTCCTCTCATCTCTATAGAGGGTGGAAAGCTCCACGATGTTTCACATTTAGTTAAAAAAATGTGCAGAAATAAGCAGGATCCAAGACATGGCTAAAATGTTTCATTTCATTTATTACACCACTAAGTGTACGAGTAAAATATTAATTAAGTTTTGATTAGGTTTTATTACTTTATATTTATTAGCTTTTGATAGATCATCGAAATGCTGACAAAAGTTACATTGACATCGTAATTCTTTAAATAATAATAATTTCAATCTAAGCTAAGCAATTAATGAGGAATAATATTATTATCTGGCTTTCATTTTACAGAAATCTTTTTAGTGAATTAGCAAGTTTTGAGAACTATGAATTGAGACTATTTATACGATTGAAGTATACAAAAATCATTGAATATATTTCATTTAAGTTTCTTAAGTGTCGATATATTTATATAAAAATGTTCGTCTAAAGAAAATGTCATACGTTTGCTGAATATACTGAATATTTTTGTATAACAATATCAGGTGGATTATTCTCCCGTCAGCAATTTGAGAGTTAGAGCATCGGTAAAGCAATACAATATTGTAGCAGATTCTAAAATATTTTGTATATATTTCATTCATATAAATATGACAAGCAATTGGATGATATTAGAAATAAATTTCTGGATAATATGTTATAGTGTGTGTGTAATGTGTACACGTTTTGACAAAGTGGATAAGCTGTCAGCTGCGGAGCAAAGTATTGCAGATTCGGTGTTCGATCTGCAATTTTTTTGTGACATACAAAAAGTTACATCAGTACATACAGTTGTTGTTTCACACCGGTTTTCTGTGAGACTCTCCCACACTTTATTTTTTTAAGGTGTTTTAAGTATCCATGAACGGCGTCGATGGCTTCCGATCAGGAGTTATGTCAGCTACCTAACCGCTCCATGCTACGAATAATCTCATAACATATATTCATAATTTTAAACTCACAGTATTTAGAGACATAATGTTGGTATAATAAGCTAGCGAAACAGCAAAAAAAATACAATATCTTATAGTCTGTTCTGCAGTTATATTTTAGCGATATGAATGTACATACATACATATGTATATGTATATTATGTATACAAAGACTTTGAGCCGTCCGGCTCGATATGGTGGACTTTGCTAAATGGATGCGGGCTTGCTAACAAAACGGTCCTGTCCAACAGGATGTGGTTGACGTTATCAAATAAATAATAGCCAAAACTTTCTATTGTGTATCCTGAATACATTTTGCAAAGAGTAATGAGACTATCGAGTGACTATTGCTGTTCAATTTGATACCTACTTTTTACATAATATCAAATATCTTAGACTGGTAGCAGCAGCAGGTATGAGTGGGCTGGCTATTGAGTAATACCAGAGAGCCTACCATGACGTGTTCAAGTGTCTATTTTCTGGGCGAGAAAGAGGGATGAAGATATACATCTTTTATAGCTCCATCCCTCTTTCTCACCCGGAATTTCTTCTTGTCAACTATAATTCATGTGCCAATCCTTATTACCTCGTATCGGAAGGCAAATCCTTACTCCTTCATTAATATAAATTAAAAAGAAGATTCCTAAAGATATGAACTCTTGAGTGAGGAAAGAAATTAAATAACCCTTAACCAACCAAAGTATTAAGCGTAAGTAATGATTGTGCGATGTGTTTTGCCGTGTGAGTGAGGTTACCGGAGGCCCAATCCCTTCCCGATCCATAAATATTCGAGGTTACCAGAAGCCCAATCCCTTCCCAATCTTTAATATCCAAAACCCTTATCTCCAACAGACCGGCCACGCAGTCGTAACTCCTTTTGTGATGCGGGTGTCCATTGGCGGCGCCGATTGCTTACCATCGGGTAATCTGTTTGCTTGTTTGCCAACCTATCCCATAAAGAGGGTTAAAATAAAAATAATGTCCACTGAAAATCTGGCACCATTTATTTCAAGATGGATTTTTTCAATGATTTATAATTGTCAATTATTTAAAATTTACTACAGTACCATCAGTCAGACACATTTCATTAGGTACGAATTTTTTTATGTTAAAATGAAAAAGAAGTTTGTTATACCAAAAAGTTTTAGGTATTGTTCAAAAAGCAATCAGGCATAAAGCAATATTCTTCATTTTTCATTGAACTTCAATACAACAATAATTCCATGATGGAAAATGCCATTAATAAAACAAATGACTTTGAGATGTAATATTTTTAATATTTTTTCCACCTGTATAGGTATTGTTTAACTTTCTTTACAGAACTTAATTCTCCAAAGAATTAGGTTTTACTCAGAATAATTACTTAGGAGCTTACCGATTTAGTGTTTTATTTATTAGACTTAACGACGTATTACCTAAATTGGATTGTGATAACGTAAAAAACAAACTTACAAGATAACTCGATCAGTTTCGAGCCACGTCAGGGACCACAAATCACAATAACCGATGAGCGTCTTGTTAACATTTCAGAACAATGTCAATTGCAAGTCGTGTAATATGAATAACTGTAACAGTATGCTTAGTTCGCAAGCTCGAATGCAAGTGCTTACTGGTGAACATGGGCAGACTCCGCGCGTGTTGAGGCTACAAACGATTCTTCGGCGTGAGCTGAGCTTTCCCGTGGGTTGTTTGTAGTGGCACGTGACGCCGACTCAGAGCTATAACTCCCACTGTACAATCTGAACATACTATTCTGTACGTGTCGGATCGTCAGCCGGTATGGAACAAATCCTGTAGATGTACATATTTGTTTGTTCTGACTCCGTGGTTGAGATTCTCATTCTATAGATATCTTCAAAGACTCAATTGGCCAACCCATTTAGAGTCTAATTTAGCCTTGATTAAAGTTTAAAGTGATTGTAGCATTTCATGTACGCAAGTAAGTATACCATGTCACTGCTGTAATGACTACCACATCTTTAGAAAATGTTCAAAATTTTTATATAACCGACTCAGGTATTTCGAATCGCTTAATTTCTCGGATAAAGTTTGTACACAACATTCGTTTATCGGATAGTGATTGGATTGACAGCGAATCCATTTATAAGAAATAAATAAGAAATCACTCGTACAAACTCAACAATAAATAACCTTAAATAAACAAGTACTTGTAAAGAAAATTGGAGAAAAAAAGTAATTTCCGTTGGGATCCGAATCACATTTAAAGCGTTGCGCTTCCCTGTCAGTTAACCGTTTACTCCACCCTCACTTAATTATTGGAAATGTTTTTACACATCGACTTTGTTGTAACCCATTCCTACACAGAATGCTACTTTAATTTTATATTCTTACTGACACACAACATTGTACCTCGTTTATTTTTTAAACAGAACGATATGAGCATTTCGAATGTCATTTGTTTCATTTTCGCTTCGATGGTTTTAGGTTCTTTAATGTAACATTTGAACAAAAAATGTACTAGATTGGCAAACGAGCAGACGGATGCATTTTCGACCTTTTGGACATTAGGGATTGGGAGATTTAAGAACTGGGGAGGGATTAGGGGTGGGGATTGGGCCTCCGGTAACTCACTCACGCGGCGAAACATAACACTGTGGTTGTTTCACTGGTTTTCTGCGAGGCCGTGGTCTTGTGACTCCGGTCTAGCCGACCCATTCGTGCCGAAGCATGACTCTCCTACACAAAACGTTCCGTATTGTTATCGTTACATGTCAGTTTCAGCTGGTTACGGGTCAATCGTAATAAGGTCTTGCGGCTCCTGGACCTAGAGCAGGAGAAAGATCGGAGTGATATTTTAGTCAGTTAAAGTCTGACACTCCCGCTCGCCTCACCCTGGGCGAGTAGAGCCATTGGATAATTTTTTCACCTTATAATGCAAAACACATCAGTGTGTGCTTCTAATTTTAAATTTTCTGTAGATGATGGCTTAGAGACTTAGATTGGTTCAGATGTTTTTGGCATAAGTATAACTAAAATTATATCTCTATAATTGAATAATAAGATTCCTAAGAGTTGGGGTTTACCGTCACTTGTACTGCTATGTTCGTCGTCTGGTGGATTATGATGGGAAAATGTTTATTTTTTATCACCATATGATTTACCTTTGAAATGATAATCGCTGTACGATATTAATTAGTATGTCTTCTAATGCAATGAATACATTTTGGATTCTTGTACCTCTTTGGATCATATTAAAAGATAGCTTGGAAGTGGGCAAACTTTATAATTTTTTTTATTTATTTCTCTCTAAAACATTTCTTTCTAGCTCTTATCCAGCAGTATAATTTAATTATTCTTGGACTTTGAAAACTAAGCTCATTTTGTTACTCAAGTATTTAATTGAAACAACTTAACTAAACAACATTTGAACATGATTGAATTCGAAGTAAACTGGTCCTAGAAATCGATCTTTTATTCTATAATAAGGCCATCTTCTTCACCTGCTGTGGACTCAAGTTTCTTCGCGTTTTCCTTGAATTCTTCAGAATTTATTGTTAAATTAAAAGTGTTCACAAATAATAATATCTCTTATTGTCATCAACCGAAAGACGTTCACTATCAGCCTCTCCCTAAAACAAATGACATTCATCTCATTGATAGTTGATTTGAAGTTTAATTTTAATATTTTTCTAAATAATTTCATTATTATATTTGACGTCAAATTTTAGTAAACTTATACGAAATCGTGAGGTAGGTGTTTTTGTGACATTTGAAAAATTACATTGATGATGATTGATGATTGATGATTATTGATTCGTTATTGCTCTCTTAATAAATATATACGTATTTTTTTCAAAATATTGATCGATACTTATGTATTTAATCTTTAAATACAGCTTGTATTGGTTTTTCATTACGGTTGTGTATTGTGATTTCAGTCACAATACACAACCGTAATGAAAAACCAATACAAGCTGTATTTAAAGATTAAATACATAAGTATCGAGCTCTTGAGACTACTTAATACAAATTCTGACAGCTATGAAGGTGTTTAAGGACTATTTATGGCATAATG